TGATTTCAAGAGGACTTAAGTATGCGCTTAAAGCTGAGAACTGCTTTCCAAGCGCAAGGAATGTGTCTTTGACCTTGCCGCCTCTAACATAGACATGTATATTTAAAAAACAAAACAAAAAACACCCCAATGTGCCTAACTGTATGGCTTTCCCCTGGGGTAAAACCGAGATGTTAGACACACAGTGAAGGCACTCAGTTACTCTGTGATGAGCATGATAAAAGCACATATGCAGAGTAGAAGTAAGTTGAGCCGGATTTGCTGAGTAGGAGCCTTTATGGAGCTCTCTTGCAACTCATGATTTCTTGGCATATATAAGCAGACTCTCGATATTATGTAAAAGGGCAGGGGCGCAAGCTGGCAAATGGATGGGTTGTCCCCTAGAACAATTGTGAATCAAAATGGTTCTGAAATGTATCGGAAAGACTGAGGCCAGTTCCGTAAGGCTTTTTGTAACACTCAGCAGCTGGGGCCTGTTTCAACCTGGAAACAAAGCTGTGTGTTTCGAAGCAACAGTATGCTTCAGAGGCGGTCCCTTGGGCAGTGTTGGTCAGATATCAGCACCCTGCTTCACCCTGGCATGCAGCAGGGAGTCCCTGGGCCCGCCAGACTCTTCACTGGCAGGCTCCTGGTGGCGAGTAAGTTCCCGGAATGCTCAAATCCGTCCTTCGTGTTCAGATTCTTCGCCCCCGGTCAGGCCACCACTGGACTCTGCACCTTTGCTTTATTTCTTCCCCCCTCCCAAAGTCATTGCCCCTCAAGCAGCCTAAGCGGCGGTGCCGCATGGAGCCCAGGATTAGCTGGAGTCCCCAGCTGATCTTGGGCTCCATGTGGCACTTTCACCTTAGAAGTACTGTTGCTATGCTTCAAAGGTGGAATCAAGGCAGCATGCTGTGGTTGGCTGAGCCTCATGGTGTGTTTGGGCCAAGGTTTCCTAGCCAGGGCTAGAACCTAGGGCTCCGGGACCCTTGTCGAATACCCTGTCTTTGAATTAAGGAGGCTACTTTAATTGTTCATGTCTTGGGGTCGCACTGGTGAGGATTAAGTTAAAGGGACACCATCCACTTGAGCCTATTTCTAAAGGAAGGTTAAAGTCACTTGTTACCACTTCACCTGCCCACGTGACTGCAGCCTCGCCATCCAGTTCCTCTCTTTTAAAATGTTTTCTCTACTGCTGCTGTGTTAAGACTCTCAAAAAACAAGAGCGGCTGCTTGCACCGGCCCATGAACCAAGCCAACAAATCGAAATGGCAGAAGCAAAATAATTCTCTTAGCTTAGCTCCCGTGGGGGGGCCTCAGCAGAAGGGGTGGGGCTGAGGGAGACTCCCCACTGCCCATGTGCAATCCTGGTGTGTGTTAATGCTAACGACGTGGTGCCCCCTCCCGTGGCAGGGCTGTGTACAGCAGCTTAACTTGGCTACTGCCCCCAAGCGAATGATGCTCCTCCTTTTGCTCAGGCTTTAGATCCACTGGTCCCTGGGTCAAACCCTGCCCGTGACCCAAGCCAAGGCAACACTTTGGTGGTGGCAACGCTTAGAAGTGCTCGGTGGTGTCCAGCCACGAGGGTGAGCAGCGCTCTGTGTTGGTGTGAGTGACAATGGGCTCTGCTCACAGCGAGAATGACTGTGGAATTGAAGGGCAGCAATCCAGATCAATGCCTCGGGACTTCCAGGGTGGCGGCTATATAAGAAGGTGGCTTTTGCTTCATGCGTCCTTCCCTGCTGCAAACGCTCGCTAACCTGTTTGTAATGTATAAACCAGACTCGCGCCCCCTCTCCCATTGCTTTGGGGTTGAATTCACAGCTGCCTTTTCATCTGCACAATATTGCTCGGCACGCAGTGTGCCTAAGCACGTTCCCACTGGCTGTATACACGCCTGAGTTTCTGGGAGCTTGCTACGCAGAGGAGTCAGCCCCCGAGGCCAATGCCCCCTCATCTTTCCCATGCTACGGGGCGGAATACATGTATGTGCACCAAGGCATGTGTGAATGTGCACCACCACTAGAAACACACATCTAGCTGTGGGTGCTCTGCTGATCAGCTGGGGGCATTGGACTCCTGCATGGCTGCCCAGGGAACATTGCCCTAGGCCCAATTATGCACAGGCAGGAGCAGAGTGTAACCACCCTGATCTATAATACTGAGGTGCAACCTACAGAGGAGACAGGCCCTGCATGTTTTGATCCGTGTGACTAGGCGGGACAGATCAAAGGAATATTGCATGCTGGGAGATGTAGTCTCCACACTTGTTTATCCCTCCTTTTACCCAACGCCAGGACCCCTGCACTGCTTAGGTGACTGGTGAGTTCTCTGGGCCTTCAGCGAACCCTGCTGGCTTGTGTGAAGTTGCTGGCGTCCTAACATAATTGAGATGCTGAGCTGTAAAGCAGAGTTTGAACTGGCATCTCCCCAGGCTCCTTTGTGGATAAATCTTTGGGATGTGCACAGAACAGTGGGGCTTTTAAAGAGAAAGGTCAAAATCCAGCCCCGGCATTGCCGCTGAAGTAGAAATGTCTTCGGAGTGCCTGCAGCTCCATCCGTCGGCAGGCTGACATGCTTTTAAAGAAGAAACGCTAAAGGGGCCATTCAAATGTACCAGTAATATCAGCCTGGTTTGCGAGGTAAAACCAGTAAAAACGGAGGGAGCTGTCTGCATGCAAGCGAGAATTTGACCCACGGGCTTCTCTTTGCGCTTGTATTAAGGCTTTCACTGTGGCTAACCCCGTTTTTAAGACACTATCCTGCGTGCACACATCTGAGGTGTTGAATTTTGCATCTCGTGTCACATATTAGACATTCGATCCAAGGTGCTTTTTCTAGCTGAGACTGATGCAAGATCCATTCGTCTTTCCTGCCTGTGAAGCTTATTTATTTCAACAGGGTGTGTGGACTGGCAGAAACGTTCCAACACCAACTGGATCCGGAGAGGAGATTGGGAGACTGTCTCCCGCAATGAAGCCAGCTCTTGCTTAGCCTGATTTCTGAGTTCTCTTCTCTGCAGTGTGGCGGCGCTTTCTGATGCCACAAAATGCTGCCAAAAGTGGGGCTAGGAAGCCAAATTTCACTCAGCCCAGCTCTAAATTTGGCACCGACTTGAGGTTCCCAGGTCCATGGGGCCCTGCCGCATTTCTTTGTGTGTAGCACAGGGTGCATAGCTATTGTGTATTGCAGCGGTCCAGTATGGTCTGCCAAAGGGTCTTGCTCTGTTGCCTTCTAATCCTGCACGTGCTCAGCAGTAAAACACACGTCCTTACAGCAAATGAGCAGCTCTTAGCTGAAGAGAGATGCGATTACTGCCCACCGGGGGGCAGGTGCGCTCAGAGCATCTGGAATTGCTCTGAGCTGCAGGTGTGACTTTATGCCCCTCCCCAAAAGAGCAGGTGATGCGCTGGAGTGGGAGCTATGGGGGCCTTCCCTGTTCTGCTGCATGGCACAGACTTTCGCAGGTTCTCAGCAGCGTCAGGGACGTCTCCACCCAGCACTAGCCCTGGCCTTGCACAATGAGTTTGAATCCTTCCTTTACCATCCTGCGTTCTCGTCAGAGCTGCATCCCCAAGCCTGCCTGTGCACCGGCCAGCCGAGGCGGCAGGTTCCTATTTGACCGCTCTTAGGTGCCTTTTTAGCATCAGCGAGGAACTTCGGGACCGAATTTGTCACTGGCTGGCTGGAATGACTAGAGTCCTGCTGCCGACGCAGATCCCGCAGAGGAGCCCTCCTGGGCACCTCCCTCACCACGTAGGCTTGGGAATTGTATTTGATGGGTAAAGACCGTGCAGGTACCCCCTGCTCAGCCTGTTTGTGGACACAACATCAGCCCGGAATGAAATAACTCTGCTTCCATTGGCGGAGGGAAGACACTACGGGGTCTGAAAAATGCTGAATTTTAAAGGCTTGAGAAGGCAATGTCTACCTGCGGTGGTTAACGAAAGCCAGCAGAACTGCAGCCTTAAGACGGCCCCTGCCTTGAAGGAAGGGTGCAACTTCCACAGGACCTCGGCATCGGTCAGTGGAATTCACCCTGCAGGCCAGGAACGTGCACGGGGGACAGATGGAATATTAAGGCGCAGGAGGGGTTGCTGGGGAAAGCATTTTCCAAAGGGATTCCAGGGAGATTTTGCAAATGATTTGGGATGAGGGCAGCAGCTGCTCTTCCTCTTTCCTCCTGTGGCTAACGGGCACTTCTAGAACGCTTCTCTGCACATAGCAAAGGGGGAGCACGCGCATGACGTCTTTCAGAATGGACCACGCTCCTCCGTGCTCTCCCCACTGGAGGACGCTGCTCCCCCTGAGGTGATGGAAGCGGAACCCCCTGGGGGTCTGACATGCAGGTGAGCCGTGACGGGGAAAGAACCAACAGGAGGCAGAGGCTGGAAACGTACTGGAAGGGCCAATCCTGCACTGGCAGCAGGCGACGTGCATGGCGGCCGATCGAGGAACTGAGGGAAAATGTGTTACAGCAGATTGCTAGCCTCTTGCCTCTCGCCCTCCTGTCCCGCATAGCGCCCTCTGCCATGGCAGATCCGCTACGAAACTAACTCCGCTTCTAAGAACCAACAGGAGGCAGAGGCTGGAAACGTACTGGAAGGGCCAATCCTGCACTGGCAGCAGGCGACGTGCATGGCGGCCGATCGAGGAACTGAGGGAAAATGTGTTACAGCAGATTGCTAGCCTCTTGCCTCTCGCCCTCCTGTCCCGCATAGCGCCCTCTGCCATGGCAGATCCGCTACGAAACTAACTCCGCTTCTGGAATAGCTCGGGAGGCGACAGCCACTTCAGGGGGAGCAAGGGGGGGGGGGGGGGGGTTGATACTCTGCCCTTCCCATGGTGCTAGATCCCAGCTAGATGGAAGGGGTCCCAGCATGGAAAAGGCTGAGGGGCCCTACAAGAGGCCTTCTGTCCCTTTCCTTCTATGACTGGCAGCAGCTGAACTTTCTTGTGTCCTCTGGCCATTACTTAACTCCCAGCACCCTCCCTCTAGAGAAGAAAAAAAAACAATCTCGTCTGGAATAGGTTCGGATTTACCAAGGTTTAGCAGGCCAGAGCAAACTCCAGTCCTGTCCAGGCACCTCTGTGTCTCCGTGCTCCGCATGACGGCACTTGTGGCTCTAATCATCCTGGGGTTTTTGTTTTGCTTTTTTGGGTTTTTTTTTTTAGATTTTAATGTGGCTTATAAATGCGTGTCCTCTTCCTCCAGATCCTCTTTCGTGAGGTTGTCCATGGGGACAATCCAGCTGTCTCCCAGCTCCCCGTTCAGGTTCACCTTCTTCTCCTGCATCTCGGAGGGGGTCTCCATCACCTCCAGGGTGGGGTTGTCATGGTAACCATTCTCCATGGTCTGGAGCTCTTCCGTCAGTCGTTGCTGGAAGGGGACAAGGAAATGACAACAGCAATCTGTGGTGAGCACTACGGCAGCGGTTTTCAAACTTATTTTCTTGTGACCTAGTTGAAGAAAATTGTTGATACCCACAACCCAACGTGATTTGGCTCGAGTGTGGGCTCAGGGGTGGGGCTGAGGAGGAGAGCTTTTGGGTGTAAGAGGGGGCTCTGGTTTGGGGGGGGGGTCAGGGCTAGGGCAGGAGGGGCTCTCACGTTGAAGAAAATTGTTGATACCCACAACCCAACGTGATTTGGCTCGAGTGTGGGCTCAGGGGTGGGGCTGAGGAGGAGAGCTTTTGGGTGTAAGAGGGGGCTCTGGTTTGGGGGGGGGGTCAGGGCTAGGGCAGGAGGGGCTCTCACTGAGCAGCTCCCGGTCAGCGGTGCAGCGGGGGGCTAAGGCAACTTCCTGCCTCACCTGGCACTGCAGACCATGCTGCCCCCAGAAGCAGCCAACAGCAGGTTCCCAGCCAATGGGAGGTGGGTGAGGGGAGGGATTATGTGAGGTTTCCCTGTTGTGTTCCCTCCCTCTGGGGCATCTGGCATTGGCCCCTGTGGGCAGACAGGACATTGGGCTAGATGGACCTTTGGTCTGACCCAGCCTGGACGTTCTTATGAGGGCAGAGCTAGTGCTCAGGGCAGGGGCAGTGCCCAGAGCCCTGTGTGCTTTTGCACCACCACCTAGGAGCTGGGCCTGCTGCCGGCTGCTTCTGGGGCGCAGCGCAGTCTTAGCACCCCCACTGCTCATCTGATCCCCCTGCACAAGGAGCCCCAGTGCCTGACTTGCCACCACCCAGCCCTGGGTCATGACCTGTCGTTTGAGAACCCTGCCCTAGAGCGTGGTGGATCTGTGGATAAATATGCACCATTTCCCAGCAGTCAACCTTATCCTCAGAGCATCTAGCCACACTGCACAGCTGTCTCGTAACCAGGCAGCTCGACTAGCTGGGGCGCAACAAACAAAAGGAAGTTTTTCTTCATGCAGCGCACAGGCAACCTGTGGAACTCCTTGCCAGAGGATGTTGTGAAGACCAGGGCTTTAACAGGATTCAGAAAGGATCTAGATACATTCATGGAAGTTAGGTCCGCCAATGGCTGAGCCAGGTTAGGTAGAAATGGTGTCCCTAGCCTGTGTTTGTCAGAGGCTGGGAATGAGGGACAGGAGAGGGATCACGTGATGGCTACCAGATCTGTTTGCTCTCTCTGGGCTGGATGGACCTTTGGTCTGACCCAATATGGCCGTGCTAGTGTTCTTACCCAGTCCCCATGATGATGGCAGTGTGAGTGGGCCAAGTGTGAGCGAGCGGCGCTGCAGCCCCATGAGCTGGATTGAAACTCTGTCCACACGCATTTGGGCCAGTCGGAGGGGCAGGGCCAAACCCAAGGGGGGCAGAGAGCCCGAGCCAAATCCAGCCAGCCCCCCCGCCTCCCCCCCGTGAGGTGAGGGTTAGGCAGGACACAACCCCACTGGGGGTGCACAGCAGGTGCAAAACTACCCTCAGGTTATTACTGGCCATGCCAGGCCCTAAATATTTGCAAATGGGTCCTGAGCCCCCGAAGGTTGAGAATCACTCGAGTTTTAAGGCCAGAAGGGAGCCTCAGCCTATCTGATCTGTATAGCCCAGGCCTCCACACCAAGCCCAACAACCAGCATCACACTGCAATACCCCAGCCCTCTGGTGCCTACAGGACTGTGCCCTGTGGCCAGAGGTCAGGAGGGATAGAGATAAGCCACGGGCAGAGAATTGCCACCACTACCTTCTCCCATCTGCTCCCCTCAGCCCACGTCTGTTTGAAACTCCACCCTGCATCTGAGCAGCCTCCAGGGCTCCAAAGCGGGGCCCTGGTCTGTTCCGGTCCAAACACAGCTTCCCCTTCACCCTACTGTTAATCTCCAATCTAGTGTGGGGTCTGGTCCGTTTCCTCAGGGCTTGACACGCAGGCTGAGGAGGGAGGGCCTCCATCTCCAGGCAGGCTGCTGCCGCTTCCTGTTGGGTGGGTGACTGCAGCTTTCCTCTCCCCTTTGAATATTTATGATCTATTAAGTAAGCTTGGAAGGAAATTTGGGGCTGGGGTGACAACTGGCTCTGGGCTAACAAGGACCTGCCGGTTGGACG